CCCAGTTATAATACTAGGATTATTGAATTATTAAGAGTTACCTTGAGATGGGCAGCCTATAAATTTTATAAATAAATACAATTATTGACTGATAAATAATATACTGAAGTTTGTCTATCTGCAACTTCTCTATTTTTGCTTTACATTTACTTTAATCTCACACTTGCATAACTATGTAAGATAGAAATGTCATATGCTGTTAAATTAACCATAAGATTTCTTTACCATACCATACAAATGCGTTCATGGGTATGATATATACGAGTGTAAATATATATCTATGTGTATTTGTGCATACATATACACACAGAGCTCACAACCTTAATATTTGCCTCACTGAACCCAATATATTTCTGGGCCAAAAGTAGATAAGATTGTTAGTCAATTTATGGTAGTCTGTGGGAAAGGGAATTTAGAATTTGGGTGTCACCATTAAGAAGACTCTTTTCCTAGTTATCATGGCATTTCATTCAACTAAAATATTTGGAAAAGGTAAAATGTTTTCCATGACCTCATAATTATAGGAAGACTGGAATAGGAGGAGTTAACACTTGTTGATATTTGATCCTTCACTATTCAAAGATGCAAAGTAGATAATAGCATCCTGAATGATAAATAAGCAACCGAAACTACTTTGGAATTAGGATAATTAGGGATTCTTCTGTCTTTAGCCTTGAACATACTAGAACAGGGTGTCAAACTGGATTTCTTCGAGGGCCGGATCAGCATTGTAGTTCTCCTTTGTGGGCCTCCCTGCGGGGGGGGGGGGGAGATGGGACCGACGCCTCCTGCAGCACCTTGCTGGCAAAAATGGGGCGCATGGCCCCCCACGGCCCATTTTGGCTGCCAGAGACACCGCGGCCCAGATTTAAGCACCCCAGGGGCCAGATCCAGCCCACGGACCTTGAGTTTGACATCCTTGTACTAGAACACATTACTGATTTTTATATACTGTAATTAAGACCCTTGGATTCATTCTGCAATCTTGATGGCATATCAGCCAATGAAACTTGACATGTTAGAGGTCCAAGTTCATCATCCTTATAAAGGTATGCAAATATATGTCATTTTAGTGATGAGATAGGAGTAAAGACACTTGACATATTTGGAACATCTGTTCAATTTTCTGCTCAGAATAAATTCAGGAGAAAAAACTTTAGATTCCACCCCACCCCCCCGGCCCTGTCCAATAGAAACCAGATTTTCAACTCTATTGACTTTCACCCTTTTACTTTTTCAGACAAGCTTAAAATCAGACAATTCACCTGAAATGTGGGAGGACTGACAAAAACTGCACATGTATCTGTGGAAAAATGAAAGTGGAACTCAACAGAACTTCATGTTTCTAGATAAGACTGGGACCATTGCATTTTAATTTGATAGCACAAAAAGTAACACAAACAAAAGGCAACTTGAGTTATCTTTATACAGGTAGTCCTTGACTTACAATCATTCATTTAGTGACTGTTCAACGAGAACAGTGACATACAACTGGTCCTCGCACTTATGTCGATTGCAATATGCCCAGGGTCATGTGATCAAAAATTTGGGCTTGGCAACCAGCATGTATTTATGATGGTTGCAACGTCCTGGAGGGTCATGTGATTGCCATTTGTGACCTTCCCAGGTAGCTTCCAAAAACGAAGTCAATGGGCTGTTTAATGGTTGGGTGATTCACATAACAACTGCAATGATTTGCAAAGCAACCATGGAAAAAAGGTCATAAAATCAGGTGCGACTCACTTAGCAACCACCTTGCTTAGTAATAAGAAATTCTGGTCCCAACTGCCATCGTAAGTTGAGGACTATATATGTATATATACACTGCTCAAAAAAATAAAGGGAACACAAGCAGAAGACATCCGAGATCTGAATGAATGAAATAGCCTTATTAAATACTTTGTTCGTTACAAACAGTAGTTTTGTGTTCCCTTTAGTTGTTTGAGCAGTGTATAAACTACTGTATGTAACGAACAAAGTATTTAATAGGGCTATTTCATTCATTCGGATCTCGGATGTCTTCTGCTTGTGTTCGCTTTTTTTGAGCAGTGTATATGAACAGTGAAAATGATCTCTGAGTAACTCACACCCATTTAACTATTGTGCCCAATGCTACCCATCCTATTCATTTCTCAATAGAAGTGTCCTGTACTCCATCCTTCTGCTCAACATCCTTCCCAATGCCAGGAACTGAATCTTCCTGTGCTTCTAAAAGAATGAAATGAAATCCACCCTACTCTACACCTTGCAATGCACATAAATAGAAATGATATAAAATTGGGTTTTACATTTATTTTTATTTGCTGCTCATCTTGTTTCAAAGTGATTTTCTTCTAATAATAATAATTTTAAAAAGCTGCAGCTGAAAGTCTTTCGAAAATCTTACTAAACTGGTTGTAGGAATATTACGGATATTCAGATTCTCCACTATTCTGCTCATATAAGTCACAATTTCATTTCTTCACAGAACAGAACAGAATAGAATTCTTTATTGGCCAAGTGTAAAGGAATTTGTCTTGGTGCATACGCTCTCAGTGTACATAAAAGAAAATATACATTCGTCAAGAATCATAAGGTACAACACTTAATGATAGTCATAGGGACCAAATAAGCAATCAAATCCTATTAGAAAACAGTCAATATAAATCTTAAGGATACCAGCAACAAGATTACAGTCATACAGTCATAAGTGGGAGGAGACGGGTGATAGGAATGATGAGAAGATTAATAATAACGCAGACTTAGTAACTAGTTTGACAGTGTTGAGGGAATTATTTGTTTAGCAGGAATTCTGGGTGCTTCCCTGCTAATTTTTCATTTCATGCTTCTGGCTTTCCTCCTTCATGGAGTTTTAAAGGGTGGGAATTTTGCATTATAATCCCTTTGCATCTGTCCTCTGACTGGGATTAAACATTTACAAATGGTAATTTATAGAAGCATCAGGCTCAACAAGGTTTCCCCTTAACTACACAATCCTGGCCTTATCTTGCCCCAGCCTAGAATTTAAGCGGTCTGTTACTGACCCTTATCAAAATCAAGTTTTCCTTGCTTAAGCCAACCCACTTGGACCATAATGTGTCTCGGGGTATTGTTTCATTCCCTTTTGGTGAGAAATGAGGTCAAGGGGCAGTGTAACCAGAGGCATGGGGGAATTGGGTAAGGACAGCCAGTTCCTTTCTTGAGGTCATGGATTTGGGGAAGAATATCCGCCATGTCATTATGTAACCAGATGTTTAGCAATCATTGGCCTGAAAAATATTGCCACCAGTCCCGGAGAACAAACTGGTTAGCAATATGGTCTGAAAGGAGGCCATTGTCAGGACTGTCCAACTTCAGGTTGAGAGGTACATTAAACCGGCGTTTCTCAAACTCGGCAATTTTAAGCAGAATTCCCCAGCCAGCATAGGAATTCAATTTTGGGAGTTGGAAGTCCAAACAGCTTAAAGCTGCAGAATTTGAGATACAACCCTAAACTAAAGGGGGCTGGCTTAAAAGGGGGGAAAAAGAAGTTTGGATCTGGAGTACAGGTAGTCCTCAATTTACAACAATTCGCTTAGTGACCGTTCGAAGTTTAGTGACTGTTTGACGTTACAACGGCACTGAAGAAAGTGTCTTATGACCATTTTTCACACATATGACCATTGCATCCCCGTGGCCATGTGATTTACATTCAGATGCTTGACAACTGACTCACATTTATTACTGTTGTGGCGTCCCGGGATCATGTGATCACCCTTTGCAACCTTCTGACAAGCAAAGTCAATGGGGAAACCAAATTCACCCAACCACCATGTTATTAATTAAACAAACGCTTAACCAACTTGGCAAGAAAATTCGTAAAATGGGGCAAAACTCACTTAGCATTTAATTACTCACATAAATCTTACATAAATCTTGGGCTCCCTTGTGGTCGTAATTCGAGGACTACCTGTGATAGCCTAATTAGAACTGAGAGAAAGTCTCGCGGTTGGAAAGGTAACAACTGCCTTGTCACCATCTGAACGTTTTTTCAACTTTTTCCTCTCCAATAACCTTTCCCGACGGCTCCACCTCACCACCCGGGACCCTAATTTGCCCATCTGCAGCCTTCCATTCGGGTCTTCAGTTACCGATCGGCAACCTCCGGGTTCATCCCTCCTCCTCCTCCTCCTCCAATCTTTGGGCTCAAGCTGGCGTCCCCGCAGGACGTGCTCCTCGCGCGGGGTCTGCCTCTCCGCCCTTCCCCGCCCCCTCCAGGGTCGCGATTCCTCGTGGCCGCCCTTCCTTTCCCCTCCCGCGACAAACCCCTCCCGCCCCCCCCACCGCACCTCTGGAAAGCGGCTACCCCGACCTGCAGGTTGCACAAACGGCCCCTTAACCAAAACCGGCTCGCCCGTCGGCTTTTTTTCCGAGCGCTTCTCTCTCTTGTCTCTCGACGGCTTCCAGCCGCTAGAGATAGAAAATCCCCCCCCCACTCTCTCACACCTCCGCCCTTTCTCCAGCACCTCAGGGGAAGGCGTCTGGGCTGGCCCTTCTTGCCCTGCCCTGCCCTTCCCCACAGCCGGGTTCTTCCCCAGGTTCGCATTCTGAGGCGGGAATCCTTTTAAAGTTGAGGGGGCAACCGCCGCATCTCCGGAGGCCCCTTCCGAAAGCAGCGCGCGCCCGCCTTTCCTCCCCGCGGCGTCCCAGACACCAGCTGCTCGACCCCGGTCCTCTGCCCTCCGCGTCTCCTGCCCGGCGAGCTTCAGACGGAGCCGCCCGCCCTCGCCGCCTCAACCGTCTCTCTTCCTGCCTCCCAACACACACACACACACCTCCTCGGCTTCTCCCTCCCTCCCTCCCTCCCTCGCCTGGCCAGCCCAGCCCGCTCTCCGCTCGCCCCTCGGCGGCGTCCGGTGGCCCCTTCCCAGCCCTGCCCGCTCCGCTTCCCGCCGTCCCGCAGCGCGCGCGCGTGGGGTGGGGTGGGGAGGGAGCGAGCGAGGGGCAGGCAGCGGCCTCTCCGCCTCCTCCCTCGCCTGCAGCGCGCCCGACGGCGGCGGCGGCGGCCAGAGCCCGTGCGGCGCGGATCGCGAGCCGCCTGAGGGACGCCCGATGGTGCCGCGCGGCGACGGCGGGGGAGGTGCCAGGCGCCTTGTGCAGCTCGCGCTGCGCTCGCCCTCGCGGAGCCTGCGCCTCTGGCTGCTGCTGCTGCTGCTCCTGGCGGCTCTCGGCCACGCGTGGACCTACCGCGAGGAACCTGAGGAGAGCGACAGGTGTGTTTGTGTGTGTGTGTGTGTGTACAGAGCCGTTTTCTTTCTTCTCTCTCTCCCCTCATTTGCTTTGCCTGCTTTTCCAAGCTCCGCTGCGCCGCTTCCGACGCCCGTTTGGCGACTCAGCGCCTGTCTCTCCTTTCTTGTCCGCTTCGCAGGGAAGTGTGTTCCGAGAGCAGAGTCGCCACCACCAAATACCCGTGCTTGAAGCCCGGCGGGGAACTCAGCACCTGCTTCAGGTGAGTGGCGCCGCGCGCTCGCGCCTTGGCCGCGGGTGGAAGAGCTGCTGGGGCGGGTGGTGGTGGTGGTGGGGCGCGTGGGTGTCAGCTTCCCCTAAGGACCGGAGAGAGAGAGAGAATGAGAGAGAGCCCAGGTTGTGGGGCTCGGAGCCATCCGTCAGCTCGGGGTAAGGCGCCCGGGGACGCCGGTGCTGCAGACTTTGAAAAGGGGGGGGGGTCCCTAACACGTCGCGGAAGGTCGCCCTCGCCTCGTAAGCACCCAAAGAGACCCAGCGAAGCCTTATTAGCCACAGGTTGATTAGAGGAGGAAGGGGGCGTCTCTTTATTTATTTATTTTATTTTTATTTATTTCAATTTGTATACCGCCCTTCTCCAAGTGGACTCAGGGCGGTGAACAGCCAGAACTAAAACACATGCCAATACAAAATTTAAAATTATTAAAAGAATTACATAACTGGCCCAATTTAAAACAATTCAATTAAAACCCAATGACAATTTAAAAACTAAAAAAGACTAAAAAAGGGGGAGGGGGTTCACGCCAGCCCTGCTTGATGGAAAAGAAAAGTTTTTAGGGATATCGAAGATATCCTTCGTATCTCCGGGGGCAAATCGTTCCAGAGGGCAGGAGCTGCCACAGAGAAGGCCCTCCCTCTGGGGGTCGCCAGCCGACATTGCCTGGCTGACGGCACCCTGAGGAGTCCCTCTCTGTGGGTGCGTACTGGTCGGTGGGAGGCTATCGGCGGCAGAAGGTGGTCCTGCAAATATCCAGGTCCTACCAAAGATACCCAGCATCTTTGATGCTGCTGCTGCTTTGGTTCCAAAGCCCACTAAAGATGGGAAGGTGAGCAGAGGCATAAAAAAAAAAGAGAGAGCAGTAGATGGATAAGTTCCTTTAGGATATGAATTATGGATTTATTTTTATTTTATTTTATTCATATTTATATGCAGCCCTTCTCACGAAGGACTCAGGGCGGCTCACAACAATAAAAACAACCAAACAATAAGTTAATGCTAAAATAATCCAATTAAAATCCCCAACAGTTAAACTAAAAACTCCCAGCAGATCAGGAGATTTGCTGAAAAAGCCATGTTTTCAGGCCACCGCGGAAAGAGCGGAGGTCGGGGGCCGTCGGGGGCCGTCCGGAGCCCAGTGGGTAATTCATTCCAGAGGGTTGGTGCGGCCACAGAGAACGCCCTCATCCTGGGCGCCACCAGCCGATATTGTCTGGCAGATGGCACCCGGAGGAGGGCAGCCCTATGTGAACGCACTGGGCGGTGGGAGGCCGGTAGGAGGTGGTCCTGCAACTACCCCGGGCCCATGCCATGTAGGGCTTTATAGGTAAGTACCAGCACCTTGAAGCGGATCCGAAGGACCACCCGCAGCCAGTGCAGCTCGCGCAGGAGAGGTGTAACACGGGAGTAACAGGAAGCTCCCGTAACAACCCGGATCATGAATGAATATCTGTGTCCCAGGATAATGTTGCAGGATCTAACCTGGGTTGGAGCTTTCAGATTGGTAACGGTAACAGAGTTGGAAGGGACCTTGGCTTGGAGGTCATCTAGTCCAACCCCCTGCTCACACAAGAGACCTGTACTAGGGATTCGAACCTCCGAACTCCTGACCTTTCAAAAGCTTAGTGTCTTAGCCACTGAGCCACCTAGTCAGGCTCAGGAGAAGATGGTGCTGGAGCCCGTTTTAGGGAACATAACTTTCTATAGTTATGGATCTTTGAGGAATTCAGAGGCTGACCCTGTCTGCTCTCAGCATCCTAGCATGTATTATTGGCCCCATGACGGTCCCTTCCAAACTAGTGGGTTCTCTTTCCTTCAGTTCTCAGGACCCTTCCTTACTTGCCCCTGACCTTGGTGCCAGCTGGGAATTTCATTTTCTGAGACAGGCTTAAATCCTCCTAAACTGTACAGGTGTTTCATTAATGTTTATTTTGATCATCTCAAGTTACATACAAGGTGCTAGAGTTGGTCACGGTGACTTGGTGGGAGATCAGGTGATTGTCAGAGATCAGGAGGAGGCAGGATGGGGGGGGGTTGGTGAGAGGAACAGCTGTGTTCATAACCATATAGCTTTTGTTGACTCGGAATGAGAGAGAAAACTAACTCAATAGTGAACAGAGACAGCTGATCTACTATAATGTATTTCTGGATACAGGCAATGCTTGTTAAATTCTCTGATTTGAACCCAAGGCCGCCTATTGCTCATCCTGACTTCAAACAGCTGTGAAGCTGGCGGTGAGCAGTTACAGATGGGCAGGTGGAGGATTAAATTGCAAGAGTCTTGAGTGCCTGAAGTTTCTTCTCATTTGCTCATTGTGTGATTTTGTATACAGATCTCCAGTTAGCACTTGTGTGGGGATCACTGCTTTCTTCCAAGTTCGTTCTGTCTCGAAGTTATAAATTGGACCCAACATAAGGCATTTTGCAGATAAATTTGTTCATTTTAGTCTGAAATGGATTTCCCTGCATTTATTGCCTTCTCTCGACCCTCACAATAGCTTTACATAAAAGTGCATGTAATATTCCCACGCACAAGGGGAAAAGGTTTTTTTTGATGTGTAAGGAAGCAGGCTGCTCAACCTTTGTATATTTCTGATCACAGCTGATTGTCAGGAGCTTCCATAAGCCTGGCCACTGATTACTCAGTATAATTAAAACATGAAATCTTAAGAAATGCTTTCTGCACTATCACATGAGCCAGGCAAAAGTCATGTCTGCTTTAAAGAGTTACAAATGGGTTGTGTGTTCATGCTCCCATGTGCTCTGAACCACTATTTTTGGAAGAGAATCTGAAGTCGTGCACAGTCCCGGTATGCTTATACATCAGAGCTACAAATTCTGTTTCTTTTTGCTTGATAATTTCAGTTTTTTTAAAAAAATCATAGGTAAGGGCTGTAAAAATACCTCCTTTTTTCTTTTTAGTTTAACACAGAAAAATCAAGATATAAGGGAAAATCCACAATTACTTGTATTCAGAATCCTGTAACCTGAACTACCATTGGTTTGTTTGGAATGTAGTTAATTTTGCTATTGATAGTCTTTTTGGTTTTGGTTTTGAAGAGTTTTCCAATGAGACTGAAAATAGTTAGGAAACAAAACCCAAAACATCTTGAATATTCATTAAGTTTCACTGAAATCTGTTTCTTTAATGAATACGACGATGATCTAATTTAAATTTTAACTGATTTTGTTTCCATGTAGGTTCTGCGCTCCTTAAGCATAGTCAAAACATTTTAATTTGTATGTATAATTCAAATTATGAATCACAGCAATGGATCTATAAGCAGATTCCCACCAACGTACTAGCAAACTTTGTTCTTGCACAATGTGTGCTAATTGTATTCAGAATTACTGAATATGCTCGTAGTTAAGGATTAGTGTTGCTGCTATACTATTTACAAAATTTACCGATGTGTACAGTGCTGAAAATCTAACTGCTGTAATTTATGGTTGTTTTCTCCTAGTATTGAGAGGAACATCTGGGGGAGAACGGAAGGCAGAGTGTCTTTATCACAGCTTTTTTAATACAAGGGAACCAATATTTCCCTTCAGCATAGAAGTTGTGTTTTAATTATAGCAGTGCCTAAACCAATGGTCAAATCACAGATAATCCATGAGGATTATTGACATGGATCTTCAGCCTTCCTGCATTCACCACTGGTTACTTGGTCTCTACCTGCTTGCCACATTGATATGTTTCACTACCATTCAGCTGTCTTCTTGCCATCTCAACGTCCGTCCTGATGTTCACCACTTCTCAGTTCTTTTGATGATGTAGAACTCTTGGTGTTGTATGAATTCCATTTCCCTAAAAAGATCACTCTAAGGAGCTTGTGGATTGGTGGTGATCAACTGGACATTTTCTTTGTTCCTCTCCAGAGGCTATGAGACAGTATTGCTTACAAGGAAAGATAATAGTGGAATAGTAATTGTTTTCTTTATTGTGTGCTAATATCTTAGTACCAACTATAGAATAAAGCAGCAATTGATACAATAACATGTTGGGGGTTTCATGGAAATAGAAAGCCCATGAGATGATGCAAGATGCATTTGTAAGATGCTATTCCTTTTGCCTACAGTCTTATTTACAGTATACAGTAGTCCTGATTTAGAGTTCTCTAATTTAGAGTTCCTCATTTAGCTAAATGAGGCAATGACTCATCATTACAACAGTGATGACAAAGTACTGCCATCAACCAGTCGTCACATGTATGATTTTTGCAGGTCTGTAAAACAAAGGAAAACTGAAATAAGATCAGTAAGCACATTTACGATTTCACTTAGTGACTGCTTCATTCAATGATAGTTATCAGTCCCAATTGTGATTGCTAAATGAGGACTACTGCATTTGTGTGAATTTATTCATTGTTGTTTTAAATTTGTTTTAATGTTCTTTTTCTTGTACATTATCCAGAGGCATGCTTATGAGAAGGGCAGCTAGATAAATTTGCTAAGAAAATAAAATATTACAATACAATATTACAATTGATAATAACATCATAATATAAAATAAGGATACTCTAAAATTAAAAGGTCCAGGATAATATACCGGTAATACTATAGAATAATATTAAGCTCTATACTTTCAAATGAACAAACATTTATTTTAAATAAATTTTATATTAAATAAAATAAAACAATATTAAATAAATAATTAATATTAAAATATTATAAAAAATAACTTGAAAACTCTTAATACAAAGTAACAATTCATTATTTGCAATCATTCTTCTGCTCCCAAACTGTCTTAACTTGTACTAATCAAAGGCCCTCTGCTGTTTATACATAACTTTTTCCCCCCCAGTTTGTTGCATTCATGCTGGGTTTGAATTACTAATTTGTAAAAATGTTTCAGTAGGAGGAAAGCTCAATGAAACAAACAACTAGTAATACTAAAATTCAGAGCACAAATCAAGGGCAGTTCCTAACTTGACTATGCTAAGCAGAATGTTGATCTCATGCAAGCACAAATAAGAAATATGGCTCTG